CCCGGCCGCACGGCCTGGGCAGGGAACGGGAGGCCTGGAGCTCTGCCGCGCTTCCCAGCCAGGAAACAAAGAGAGCCAAGAGAGCTCTGGTTTTACACTTTAAGGTAGGGTTCACAAGTTGATCCCACTTTTCAATGGCCTAAACTGCTGTCAATTCTCAGCAATGACCGATAATTGGTCAGGAGAAAAGACTCCAGGCAGTTCCCAGCAACTTAAACTTTCTTAAAGGTAAAGTAACTCCATGACAGTATCTTATGCAGGGGGTCCTCAGCAACCCCACTGCTGCAGAGGCTTTAGCAGGAGATGAGTGTGTGTGCGCCAAGAGCAGTTTGACCGGCTGGTGCTGGAAGCAGGACGTGGCAGCAGGAGAGGCCCTTCCTTAGGCTTTTGTGGTGCGTGGCTCCATTGGTGCTGGAGCAGCTGGAAGCAAACAGAAGGGCCAGCCTGGCTTTTGTGAGGGTCCTCTCTGGTGCCACTTGGACTTCTCACTTTTGACCTGGTTTTGACACAGATTGTTTCAGTGCTTTCGAAACCTGCGACTTTTGGAACCATCTGCAGGAATTGCCAGTATGAATGCACATCTGGATATGGGTTTTTTTAGCATTTCTAATACAGAACGTTTCATAAATAAGGGGCATGTCTGCAGAACACTGGAAATATATCTAAGAAGAAAAACAGGAAGGGGATTTTATTCACTTTGCATGTGACTAGGCATATGTGATTTTGTCGGTAGGAGAGCAGAACTATTTTTGAGGTACTTGACTCTTGGGCTGCCTGAGGTGGGTGAGAGCCCAGAGGACAATACTTCAGGCTGGTTTTGTGGTGCATGTGGCAATGGGAGCACAGCTCTTGGTTGGCCACACAGACTGTAGGATTTGCAGGTATCAGTGTCAGTGACTCTGCTGGGTTCTGATACCAAGAGGCCACAGTGTTTGTGGGTTTGCTCTGACTTGGTGGTGTGAGGTTCCTTGGGGTATAGATGGTCCAAGCTTCAGTACTTCCAAGCACTGATGGGCTTGTGTTGGGACCAAAAGCTCTGTTTCTTAAAAGGCAAACCCAACCAAAACCCTAATGTGCGTAAAGTATGTGTGCTCAGAGAAATAGACTGTGTGAGTTAATCTGCTTTGTGTTATGCCTCTCTTCCAGTTGGTGCACTACGTGTGGAGTTTTCCCAGCCTGTGAACCTGGAAGAAGTGGCAAGAATAAACCCAGAGGTCAGAGCAGGGGGTCATTTTACTCCGAAGGACTGTATAGCACTTCAGAAAGTAGCAATAATCATACCATTCAGGAACCGAGAGGAGCACCTGAAGTACTGGCTCTACTACCTGCACCCAATTCTCCAAAGGCAGCAACTGGATTATGGAGTATATGTTATCAACCAGGTAAGATGCTAGAGGCAAGCTTTTATACAGCTCTCACAACAATGCCTATGCCCCTTAAAATAGAGGAATGGTTGCTTATCTTTGAAAAGCAGTAGGCTGGCAGGCAGGAATAAGGTTGCTTAAAAAAAGAAAAAGAAGAGGAAGAAAAATTCTGCTTTGGTGCTTTTAATGGAAAACCCGAGATCCCTGCTTCTGCTCAGGTACAATCCACTCTTAAGAGCTTCTGCTTAAAGAAACCCCTTGTTGAGGAGGAAAGAATTCCTAATACCATGACCCAATTAATTATCTCTTTCCAATTGTCACTTTTTCCCAACTGCTGCAGGAATGGCATGCAGGGATTTTTAAGGTGACAAGTTGATGTCTAATGTCTAGGTTGGTAGTAGATGTACTCTAAGTGTGTAGGATTTCACCTTATCAAGCACCTTCTGTTCATGTTAGTGCACAAAGTCAGGATGGAGAAAACAAAGCTGTGGCAGTGGGGCAGGTAAGTGGCTGTCTTCAGGGGAATAGAAAAGGAACAAGTAATCATGGGGAAGTTCTTGGAGTTTTTGATTTTGGGGATTTTTTTCCTTGATATCTGGTGGCCTTCAATCTGCTTTTTAAAAAAAGAAAGGTGTAAAAATGCACATTTCACTCAAGGCAAGCTGTCTTAATTTGTAGCATAATGTTGTTTAAATAATTTAATGTTGTTCACCCTTGGAAAACCTTAAAATGTGCAGGCATTTGTACAAGCTGCAGGGTGAAAGGGCAGATGCAGTTCTGAGAGCTCCAGCAGAGACCACCTTCTGGACAATTCCACTGCAGTTTCCCTCTTGGATATGTATTTTTATCCTGTTTTCTCAGCTCAGTAAAAACTGAGATGAAATAACATGCTTCTTTGAGTGTTAACTCCTTAAGCTTCTACTTGGATCAGCTGGTGTGTTTGGGCATATCAAACACCATGAATATTTAAAGTGGTCACCCAAGCGATGAATTTTGTCACAGACTTGAAAGTAGGGGGAGACTTATCCTGAGAGAGAAAACTGATGCTCCATTACTACGATTTCTTTTACTTTGCTCATTTCCAGGGTGCCAGAGATCAGGACAAAAAAGATTTCTGGGGAATTAGCAGTAGTTCCCCAGCACAGCAGCCAAGATGGTTCAGTGTCTGCATCTGTCTGTGCTTGCGGCCTGGCAGCCACACTGCTGAGGACACAAGGCATTTCTGCAGCATGCAGACTGGCATGCTGTGCCCTAAAATTGAGCCCTTTTCCTGTGTAATGCAAGGAGCAGCTGGAAGCCACTGCAGTGCAGGGGCCAGCCGCAGCCCCCTCCATCCTTCGGGCTGCGTTTCCTTGCACGTGCAGCGTTTGCCCGTGTGAGTTGCTGGTGCCACAGGGCTGGCTGGGCCACAGACCCTGCTGGTCAGGGGGAGCAGGTGGTGCCAGGGGCAGGACAGTGCCTCCCTGCTCTGAGCACAGCTCGGATGCCAGAGTGTGCCGTGGCTTCCAGCAGCGGTCCTGCGGTGGGGGCTGCTGCTTTCCCAGGCAGGTGTAGTCACCGGCCAGCTGTGAGAGCTGCCTGCAGATGGTCTGGGGCATTGCTTGTGGGAGAGCAATCGCCTCCATTGTGAAGAGCTGGAAGTGCAGCTGGGGGTGGTGTTTCCCATCGGTGGTGGTCCAGGGTGAGGAAAGCCGAGCTGGTGCCCCTAAGGGCAGGCAGTGTCTGAAGCCCGATTGGAGTCCCTGCTGCTGCTGTGATGATGCATGCTGGCTTGCATTGGCCTGTCTTGCTGGCTACTCCTCTTCTGTGGTCCTGTTCTCCAGCACTAGGGCTGTGTGCTTTACAGTTAACTCTCTCAGGTTTTGGAGCAAATACCTTTTCTCAGGTGCATCCCTTGGGCATAGTTTGAATGAGAGTTCACAGGGTATATATGCCCTGGCCACATCCAGCAAATATAGGTTAGTGAGAGACCACTTGATTTGTAAAGCAAATCAAGCACCACTTGATTTGTAAAATTAACGTTCTCCTTCTGCATGCCTCTAAAAAGCTGTGTCCAGAAGAAGTGGAGTGGTCAGTGGTAGTAAACCCACAGGATGCATCTCCCAAGGGTGAGTGGGAACATTGAATAGAGAGAGATGCAGAAAATATATTAATTCTTCCAGAAATACAGTAGGAAAACAGTTTCTCTGCTGTCTTGACAATTACTTTTCTCTTTTTCTTGTCTGTCCTTCCCTTTGCATCTGCCCTCCTTTTTTTTTTTTTTTTTTTTTTATTTTATTTTTCCTTCTAGCGGGGAAATATTACCTTTACTTGTTTATCCTGTCTATATCAAAGCAATCACTGAAGCAAGGAGAATTACTGTGTGATCTGGTTCTTACACGCTGCCTACCTACATGCTCTTCTGTGCTCCGCATCTCATAGAAAGAAAGAGGAGCGCTGAGCCCTGCTACTGCTGCACTGGTAATGTCAAACTTCTTCCTTTCAGCGCAATGTGTTTCTGTCACGAGTCCATTGTGTCTCCACCATGCTGTTCTTGCGTGCCTGAATGCCTCTGAGTAGCACTTGGCTGAAGTCAAGGGGATAATGTTTGTAAAATGTCTGGCATGTAACAGGAGCCAGTGGAAAGTAATGTATTATGTTTCACCTTGCACTCTCCACCCCTAGAAAAACCCAAACCTAGTGTGTGGAATAGCTGTTGGAGGATTTTTCAGGCAAATCTGAGATGAGGACATGCGGCTGGACATGCTCTGCCAGCGCCCATTGATGCCACACAAGTGATGAATTTGCAGCATCTCCTTCAGCATCGCTCACTCCCACACATCCGCTGTGTTGTCCCGTGCCTGTGGCCATTGCCATGCGGATACTTGAGTCTGGGGAAATTGATCTTCTCACTGCATTCCAGCCCATGCAAATGCCCATGCAGCCAGACTAAAGTTTGGGAAAGGGAAGACTTAGCCAGTTTCCTGAAAACCAGGCAGCTTTCAGGAAACCGTATTCCACTGGCTCCTGGTGCTAGTTGCAGTGTCTTGGTAGCAGTTTTCCAGAGAGGTGTGTGAGTGTGGAGTGGTTGGGGCATCACTTTTATTCATGTTACTTTGCAGGGGGTGTCAGATATGTGGTCAAAGGAGGGAATTGTGCTCAGCTCCTGCTTACCCTTACAGTGGCAGAGGCAGGTTTCCACTGTGGCTGCTCTCTACCACAGCCCAGTGTAATTGTGCTGAGGCTTCAAAACACCCTGTAACAGAGAAACACCTAAGTATCTCCCAATATCTCTCTGTGGCTCTGGAAATTTGTTTCTATCTGGTGAAGTCCACTGGAGGAAGGACTTTCCCATGGAAATAATGTGTGTGGTTCAGGGTGTTTCAGTGTGTCCCTGACTTAGCTAGCACTGGCAGGTGATGGCTCTGTCCTTGTTGGCTAGAAACATACATCCTCACCATTATCTCCCTGAGATCTGATGAGTGTAGGATTCAGGTGAAAGCGATGCAACCACATTTCATCTGTGCTCTCTGTGTGAGGAATCACAGAGCTGCCTCCTTTATAGATGTGGGAGGCAGAACAAAGTCAGGACATACGGTTTCTTGTTGGTTTGCAACCCTTTTAGTTAGAGTAACGATTCAAAAACCTCAGTTTTTTATGTCTAGCACTAAAAAAAAAGGAACTCTCCTTTGAAAGGTCTGGCTGAATAAACCAGATTCATCTGAGGTAAGAGATGGGAAGTAAAAAAGCCTGGATGTTGTTCTGCTCAGGCTGATCATTCGCCTCCAGGTGCAAGCAGAAGTCAGTGTCGGTCCTTGCAGGACTGAGGCAGCAGTTTGTTCTGGGAATGACAGAGAGAATTAATTCAGGAGCGAGAAGCAGGTGCTGAGTGCCAGCACTATACTTAGAAATCGGTTAAGTTCCAGGACAAGAGAACATTGGGGAAAATTTGTCAGGAAAAAGAAAATAGCAAAAATGTGCTTGGACTACATATTTTCTGTCTGAAAGCCTAGGGAAGCACAGAAGCTATGTCTAGAGCTTGACTGCATTGTCAGACTAGCAGTCCTCTGTGCACTGCCTCACTCTTCAGGATAATGCTTCTCTATTCAAGCAAGTCCAAACGAATCCATTTCTTTGTGACAAATAACAGCATTCATGGGATAACAAGCTACCAGGCAGAGGTGAGGGATGGAGGTTTTTTCAGTTGTGCTTTACTCAGTTTCTCAAGGGTCACTGATGAGTACTGTGCTCTATGCTGACCTGGAAGGAAGTTTTCACAGCTCTGGTTTATTTGGTTATTTTTCGAAAATGTCTGGGATCAGTCAGAGATGGCAGCCTGCAGCATGCATGCGAGTTTTGAGAGATGTGAATCTGAGATACCGCAAACATGCCACTGCCTTAGGTAAAGAAACAGAGCTTCTGCAAAAAAGCAAACCTCTTGCCAGTCTTTTTTTGTTCCAGTACATTGTGTTAAAGCCCCACATAACTTCTGGGACAGAAAACCAGCCTTCTGCCCTCAAAACAGTCACAGCTGATAACAGCCTTGCAAAGTTTGCTGTATGAGCTACATGCTCATTGTAAAGTTACTGAAAAATGGCTTGGAGAGGGTTCTTCATTTTCTTGCATAGGTTGTGATTCTCTTCTTCCTAGTCTTTTGGATTCCCTAGTGTGAAGCTGTGTGACCATTTGGGAGGAAAGTGGCAATGCCCACATGAAGTATTTGCCCTGTGTCCTGACCCTCTCCACGCACAGGGCTCCAGTGTGAGCTCTGCTGGAGTCCTGTGGGTGAGGTGGCAGGAAAGGCAAGAGCCTGCAGGCTCTTGGTGCAAAACTCTCTGTGCTTTGAGGTTTTTTAGGGATAGTGTTAAAAACACAGCTCTTTATATCACCGTTAATCCTCATGTGTCACCCAGAAGAGTTAGAGGCTACCCGAAGGCACTGGTTAATTACAGCTGAGCCTCAGCTGCTAACAAAATCAGTGTGAAGTGCCCTTTGCCTTGAATTTCATTAGGAAAAGAGCAGCCAAAGGGTATGAAATGAGGCTGCTCTCCTAGACTGGCCCCAGCAGTTGCTTTGAGGCGTGAGCCCGTTGCATTTTGCACCAGCACCAGGACAAGTCCCACTCAGAACCTTGGGGCCAAGTTGGGGTTTAGTGCTGTGGGACCTGAGGATTGCTGGGCAGCTGGGGCTGGGCAGCACACTTTGCACCCTCCAATCTCATTACCTCAGCTGCTTCCTCTCCCCACCCTCTTTGTTCCACTTGCCTTCATTTTCTGTACTTGAGTTTTCAGACTGCTCTTGCTTTATGCATAATGGTGATCGTCCACCCACCACCTTATTATTTGTGTGAACTCTTTTGTTTTGGGTGAGGATGCTGAGAATTTGCTCAGATCCTCTTCCATGAAAGCTTACTCCTCCCTGTGAAGTCATTTATGCCCAAGGCAGGTGAGGAATGCTTTTGAAAACTTTGGTTTGACACTTGCATTTTAAAACCTTCATTTGGAATATACTTGGGGCTGTTTCAAGAACCTGCATTGGCTCTTCAGCAGCAGATATATTAACCAGTCTGGATTAAACAGTTAGCAAAATGATTGTTTATTAACCAGGTGAAGCTGTTACAGAGAATGTGGTGTTTCAAGCTGCTGCTCCTTGGGCACAGTATTTTATCCATCCGTGATGATTTGCATCCCATGTTGGGTGTGGGTACTTCAGGGTCGGGGGACAACTTGCACTGTGGGGGAGCCCTTTGTCTTGACACTGCTCAGAGAGTGTGGAGACTCTCACTAAAGGTAGAATGGATTTGGCAGTCTTGGTTTCCAGGCCAGCAAAAACCTTCAGTCTCTGAGCCATGCCCTATGAGTTTTCTTCTACCTGCTCTGTTCCCTTGTACAGGGTTTCAGTTTGAAGCTGCTGCTGCAGAGTGGGGTCTTTGACTGGAAATCCTTACTTTCAAACCACCAGTATTCTTGGGTTTTGGGCATGATCATTTAGGTTTTCCAAAGTACTCAGCAATTTGCGAGCCTCTACTTGTGCTCAAATCCACATGTGCTTTTGAAATGTTTCTGCCTGAAAAAGGCCGAACAGGTTCTCCTCAGGTGCTTCATTGCTTGAGGAGGAAAGTGAAGATTTTCCTGCCCTGCTCTCTGCCAGTCCCTTCATTAGCTGTGCTTGCCCCGGGATAAATTTGCCCTGCTGTAGTGTCAGCTCTTTTCAAGTCCTTCCCATCATGGTGAGAGCCTTCCTGGTTTCATTTTCCCATCAAGGCCCCCAGGACAGATGAAGAGTGGTGGAAAAGCACCAAAGAAGGGGATGCGCCACTGCAGCAGTGGCAGCATCCATCTCTCGAGCTGTAGCCCTTCCAGGAAGCAGCTTGTGCTGGCCTGCCATGCAGTAACCAAGGCTTGTGTGTCACAGCCACATGCCAAACCTGTTTCCCAGGGCCCAGGGAGCATCCTGCTCCTCTGTGTTCATGACTGCTCAGGGCTTGGCAGAGGGTCAGAGGTGAGCAGCAGAGCATCAGACCTTGGCTCCCAGTGCGGTCTCACACTTGGCAGATCAGGTCTGGCCTGTGATCACATGTTGCTCAGCAGAGTCTCACAACCACATTGTGGCATTGCTTAGGAGGAGGGTGCTGAAACTCTGGCCACAGCAGGGTTTTGGCTCATGGTCCTTTTCATGGCTGTAAGCTAAAGCACTGCCAACGTTCCTCTCTGTAGCAAGCATCTCTTCCAGAGGAATTCACCTCTTCTTCTTTTCTCTGCTGCTTCAGGAAGCCCCACCTGCTTGCCCTGTGTAAGAAAATTTAATCCTTAAGTGCCTGTGCATGGGGTGGAACAAAGGGATTGCTTAGTATCATATCAAAACCTGCCCTCTTGGGGGCTCCCACCAAAAGATGGGATCTTACCTGGGTCCAGCCTTTCCTCAGCTGTTTTTTCTGCCCCCATAGTTTGCTGCTGTCCCAGTGTCAGCATTTGGGGTCATGGAGGTCATGGAGGCCTCCTGCAAACATGCCATGGGTGCTGCAAGGGCAGTGCTCAGGCTCAAGCTCAGTCCATCACAGGCATGCCACCCCTCTGCAGCAACACCAGCATCTGGCAACAGGTAAGGAACTGCTGATGTCAACTGCCAAATTTAAGTCACTTAACTGTTTCTATTTGTTTTTAAATTAGGATGGAGAAGAAGAATTTAACCGTGCTAAACTGCTGAATATTGGATTTGCAGAGGCCTTGAAGGAGTATGACTATGATTGCTTTGTGTTTAGTGATGTAGACCTCATCCCAATGGATGACAGGAACACCTACAAATGTTACAGCCAGCCACGTCACCTCTCTGTATCCATGGATAAATTTGGATTTCGGTGAGACAACTTTCAGAGTGGCATCTTATTCCTAATACCAGTGCCAGCCTAGCAGGGCAGGCACAGTGTTACACATCCGCCCACCATTGGAAGCATGGGAAAGCATCTCTCCCAAAAGCCTGTCTTAACATGCAGGGCCCTGCAGGGAGCGGGTGGCTGCAGGGGGGAAAGGCAGAGAAAGGCAGCTGAGCATTTTATTAAAGCTCACAGCTTCTGGAAGGTGAAATGTAGGGTGAGGAAGAGCTAAGAACCCTTAATTTTGCAGATGCCCACATATCCCTTCTTGTGTTTCAGTCTGGAATCTGGAAGACAGCTAGCGTTTCCACCCAGTCTGAAAAGTGAGACATTCTCACACAGTGAGAATTATGTGCAGCTTTAAAAAGACTGAATCAGACACTATTTTAAGAGCAAGACAAGATTTTTTTGGCTGTTTGGTTTTATGCCACTGAGAGACCTGCCCTGGTACATGAGAGCAGCACAGAGCAAAATTTCTTGCAGCATACATTTGGGTTCAGCTGTTCAGGACAAAAACGTGTCTTCCTCTTCCTGTCTGGGATTTTTGGTTTATTTGGGGTTTGTTTGTTGTGTTTTGTTTTTTTACCTGTCCCAAATCCTAAGATGGAGTTTAAAAGCTCATCTGTAAAGTGGAGACTGGTCTTGACCCTGTGGTGGCCAGTAGTGCTAAAGCTGTAGCAGTGGTGGTGTTGGCAGGGTCCCTACTCTGCCAACTATGTCTCTACTCCAGACCCAAGCCCTACTTGGAACAGGACTGCCACTGGCACTGCAGCATCTGCAGTTCTTTCTTGCACTGAAGTGAAACTTAAAACAGAAATGCATGGTCCTGGGGATTCCTCTACTTGTTAAAACTGAGATAAGTCTGTACTAGGTCCTGATGATCCTTGTGTGGACCCTCTCTGTATGCTCTGGGTCTGAATGTCATCCATCCCTGATCTCCTGGTGAATTGTCTTGTTTCAAGTGGGAGCTAGTTGGCTTTCTATATGCAAGGCCACACTGCCAGCTCAGCTTTGGGCTGTAAGCTTCCTTTTTGGGGCACTGAGGAGTGTGGGGCTGAGCGGTAGAGCTGCAGGAGGAGAAGGTTCTGTGGCACATCCAATGTCTGAGCTCTTGCCACTCCTGTGGTATTCATGTCACCTTCAGTGAGGTGATATGCATTTCAGCCTGTCCTTTGAGGACAGTGTACTGATTAGTAAAAGGCTGCAGATACTTCCAGATGCAAAATACTTCTCAGATATATTTGGTACTGAGCCCACGAGTTCCCTCTCTCACAGCAGAGTCCAGGGTACCACAACACCTGGCTGCTTCCTGGAGCAGGAAGGTGCCTTGCAGTGGGTGCTGGCTGGGTGAAGGGCAGCAGCAAGCTCTTTCCAGGCAGTCAGGCTGCAGCTTGGCTAGCCCCTCTTCTCTAATTTGCTTTTTTCTCTGCTTCTAGGTTGCCTTACAATCAGTATTTTGGAGGTGTGTCTGCCCTGAGCAAAGAGCAGTTCACAAAGATCAATGGGTTCCCAAACAATTACTGGGGCTGGGGTGGTGAAGATGATGACATTTATAACAGGTAAATAATTTCTCTTCCTTGGCATCCTTCCTGGGGTACATCCAGGGTGAAGATGAACACAGACCTGCTGCTCTCACCTGGGTATGGGGGTATCTCCAGGCAGGAGATAAGGGTGGTGTGTGGGCAACCTACTGTCTCAGTGAGAACATGTTCCTGCTGGGTGCTGGCACCCCATTTCTTAGCTCCCAAGGTGCGGCGGGGAGGGGTCTAGTTGGAAAAGTCACACCACTGCCCCGTCCCCCTGCATTGTTCATTCTCCCTGTAGCCTCACCAGCATCCACACCAGTGCACTGGCTGGAGCAGCATGCTTCTGGGTCTCCCAACAGTGACTCAGAGAAGGGGATTCAGGACGTGCAGCCAAAGGTGGATGAGACCTTGACCCACCTTGCCCAGTGCAGCCCAAGATTTGTTTGGGTATGCAGCCTTGTAGCAGACTGCTTTGCTCCCAGGAGAGTTCCATTTTTGTCAGGTTGTAAGCAGCTCTGTACAATGCTGTGAGCCATGTGGGCTTGACTGGAAGGAAGCTGAGCAAGGCTCAGAACTGCAGGTGAGGAGGAAGGTGTTCTCACAGGGCAGGCTGGGAAGATCAGGGCAAAGGATGAACATGGGGTTATGCTACCTTACAGCTTCACATATCCACAGCATTCACTGAGAGAAATCATCAGGAGGGGCTTGCATTTGGAAGACCTCTTCATGTTTCTCAGTGACAAAACCACTCTGTGATCTTTTCTCTGGGGTTTCTGAGCACTTCTGGGCTTCAAGGAAGGGTGTTTCAAAAAGAAAAAAAAAATTGTATCTTCCCTAAGTTTTGTACTTCTATTAAAAAACTAAGAGAGAGACAACTTTCCAGTAGGGCATTCATAGCAAGGTGGCAGTCCTTTCTTTTTGGGACACTTGGGTTTTGAGGAACAAAAGATGCTTCACAGAAGTGAAAAGGGAGAGGCAAAAAAGAAACCAGGTACTTTTTCATCACTGATATCCATTAAAAAACCCTGCAGGTGCTTTGTAGAGAGCCTGCAAAGAAAGAGGGGCTGCCCCTCACCTGGTAAGTCCCAGCTGGGACCACTGTGACTCTTACCATGTGTCTCCTTTATGCTGCTTCACCACCATTTACTTCGATTTCCCCCAGCACATGTCACAAAAGATAAGTGCTCCTCTGGTTCCTATCCACATGGGTTAAAAACTAGATGAGTCCCACTCAAATTCCAGTCTACAGCCTGGAGTAGGGTTAATGTGGGCGCTGGGGTGTTGTTTGGAGGAGATGGAGGTGTGAGTGTGTGGTGAATTACCTTGGTGTTGGCAGGGGGAGGTCTCTACTCTGCACAATAGATAAAGTGTCTGTGTGGAAAAGGACTGGCTTTCCTTCCTTGTGTTGGCAAGCTAGGAAGTGCATTAGTAACATCCCCACCGAAAAAAAACCCAAACAAACAAAAAAGTAGGTGAAACCAGTGGTTATTTGTGGAAGGTGTGGCAGAGCATCCCACATCCGTTGGGTGTTTAATGTACTTGCTTTCTACAGGCTGGTGTTTAAAGGCATGGGGATATCCCGTCCGGATGCGGTCATTGGGAAGTGCAGAATGATCCGGCATTCCCGGGACAGGAAGAACGAACCCAACCCCGAGAGGTGTGTCTCACCCTGTCCCACAGCAGGTTTAGGGGTGCCTCCTGCCCTTGCTGCTCCGACTGCTTGGCTTTCTCTTTGTACAAAGAGAAATGTGGAAAGGTGGAATGCAGAAAGGCTGCAGCCATCTCCTCCCTGGCTGAGCTCTCTGCTCCTGCCCCGTAAGCTGACCCGTGCCCCTTGCCAGTTGACTATCTGATTATAGACCTTTTCCCCAACATTGCACTATGGCAAGAAGGCCTCTCCTTTTTTTTTTTTTTTTTCCCCTTAAATGCAGAAAATTAGATTCCAAGCAATTGTTTCCAGCTTGTCTTTGGGGTATAAACCTCTGCTCTAGTGCAGAGCTGGAAAAGGACTTGTGTGGTTTAAAAGCTTGGCTGCTTCTTCCTAGCTAAAATTTGGCCCCATAGGGATGCATTGGCTCACTGCTCAGGCTGGCCAAATCTGGGAGTTTATGGCACTGGTACTCAGGTTTTTCTTGAAACACCTGCGGATGCTGCCTGAGAGGCATGCAAAGATCAGATTGTTTAAACATTTTTTCCTTTCTTTCTTTGTGTTTTCTGCCCTCTCCTCCACTTTCTTTTCTTCCCCTCCTGCAGGTTTGACCGAATTGCTCACACACGGGAGACAATGAATTCTGACGGCTTAAATACACTGTCCTACAAGGTGTTAAGAACTGACAAGTACCCTCTCTATACAAAGATCACAGTGGATATTGGCTCTCCCAATAGCTAACATCAGAGACACAACAGAGACTTGCCTATATTACCCAGGGTATCTGGCCTCACTGATGCATTATATGTGCTGGTTTTATAACAGTTGCAATGAACCAAAAAGAAAAAAAAAAAAAAAAGGCCTCTTTTGGCATGCCAAAGTGTCTCCAAATTGGTTGGACAAGTGATGTTTTTAATTTTTTTTTTAAATTTCAAACTTGACTTTATACAACTTTCTAGCTCTCTGTTGTTTTGTAAGTCCAGAAGCTGTACATACGAGTTGTAAATAGTTACTTTGCCAGAAAATGTTGAATCTGATGTATTTGCTGCAGTACTCTCCATGTTGAATTAATTGCTGGACTCAAATTTTTCTGATTATGACTGTGATGTATCAACAATTACTGCCCATGATATTTGGTGTTCTGAGTGAGGTGCATGCAGGCATACGTTTTAATTCATTCCTGGTTTTACTTTATGAAGGACTGTAAAATGCTGCTAAAATTGTCCAAGTTTACGCTTTGCATTAGATTTTTTTTTTTAATGGAGACAGCATAATACAACTTTTTTCTCAAAGTGACCAAAACAAACATCTCCTCTATGTGCAGAGCAGGTGTTGAACAATCAAGTCTGGATTCAATGAATGTCGTTATTTCTTTTAGTCTCAAAGGAGGCTTTGAGTGAGTTGAGACAGTTTGCCAGAATCTGTGGGTAAGCTCCCTGCATAGGGTGGGAGCTGCACAGATGGGCTCTAAAAACTGCTGGCTTCAGATAACCTTACTTCTGGATATGATAGAGATTATTTCCTTCAGCACAACACCACCTGGGATTTTTTTGGGGGGTAGAGGAGTTCAGAGAGGGGTGGATTTTTGGTGTTGTTTCTTTTTTTTTTTCATGAAACAGAGATTAATTTAATTGCACAAATATATGATGGCCTTAAAATTTGCTAACACTTGTTAGCAGTTGTAGGAACTTAACACGCTATTTAAGTGTTGTCTGAAGCTTCCTAAAACCAAAATTTTCTCTTGCAAGGTTGTGCATAAAACTTGAAATCTTTTATTACTTTTGTTGTTGTTGTAACATTTTAATAACTTTTAAAAGTAATTTGTGTATCATAAGCAGTATATTTAATAACAGATTAAAGTAGGGTGCAGCATAATAGGATATGATTCAAAGCCTCCTTTATCTTTAGACTAGTAGGCTTTTTATGTGCATCATTATATATAAGCCATGTATTTTGTTTGCTCTGCGTATTTGTCTATTAAATCTCCTGCGGTGCTGAGATATACACAGCAGGGCTGACATCCAAATGATTTTTCTTTGCCTAAAGCCTGTTTGCAATGTGTGTCCTCTATCTGGAACCTCCCTTCTGATTGTCTCAGGCTTGAGGGGCATGCACATTCTGCAGTACTGTTTTCTGTCAGTGCACCAGGGCACCAGCTGTACAGACGCTGCTTTTCCTCCCCTTGACCGTGTATTGTATGAAAGCCTCAAGCGCTGACACCCAGGGAGCTGTCTAAGTGATTTAAAGCTCTCAGCCAGAACTGAGAACTGAATTCCTTCTGGTGAGTACTTCGCCACCAGCTCTGACTACAGCAATTTGCACTTCCTTGGCCTGTGCTGAAGGTTGTTAAAATCAGGGACACTTGTTGTATTGGGGATCATCTTCAGCACTGCCTTTTTTTTTTCTTTTTTTTTTCCCTTTGGTTTGGTTTAGTTTGGTTTTTTGTTACTTTTTTCAAGTCCTGAAGGTTTTGCTGAACCCTTGCACTGCAGGGGTGGGATCCTGCAGGGACCAGGGAACAGTGCATTTCTTCTTAGGCCAGCAGTGGATGCATGGAGACATTAATTACTAGATGCCTTTTCAGTCTCACTTTGGAAAAGTCTTCACCTCCTTTGGTTCAAAGCTTTTTCTGGCTAGACTTGCTGCTCCAGTCATGATGGGAGCTGAGGAAAGATGGGCTTGCATGGAGCAGGAGCAAAGTGCAAGGGAGGAGGCTTGTGGTTAAGAGCTTATCCTTTGTGCTTATCATCGCATTAGAAAAAATATACAATACAGTAGTCCTTATGGCAGATCAGGCTCCAGGTCTTAAGGATGCAAGGGAGTACAAGAAGATGTGTTTTACAGAAATCAGGTCAAATGTGTTCCTGTAAAACATTGGCTTGGATGTAGTCTGTAGCAGTAACGGAGACGCAGGAGAGGACTATTTTAATTTTGTTTTTCAAAGCTGTCTTAGAAGGAGGGCCCCACTCCCACAACTAGCAGCAGATAACCAAAAATTTATCAAGGCTGCACTTGAAAATGCCTTGTCTTTGCAGAGAGCACCTTGATTTTGTGCTGAGCCTTTTGTAAGTTCAAAGAGTTGGGACCTTCAGCTGTAGTGGTGTCTGTCTGCTACCAGGTGGGTGGGGGAGATGCTGGCAGCATTCCTTGCAGAGAGATTCTTTGACAGAAAAAAGTTAGTGCAACAGCTCATTGTTTGGCTGTGTGCCGAAATTATTCGAAATAATGTCGTGGAGGTGGGATGAGCACTTGTTTCTGGCTCTTGAAATCAAAGGTTTCTACAACTTGTGCCTTGAAAGAGGGAAGAAATGGAAACTGGAAAATCAGGAAACCTGAAAACTGTTTTCAGCAGAGAGATACTAGCACGGCAAGAAGGTGCCGCGTAGTTTCTCTTCCACTGCTTAAGCCACAAGCCATGTAAAGAACTGTAGCCACCTTTTGTAGCTCATGTTGCCCTTTGGTGCTGACTTGTGATTTCTAGATCTCATTGTCTTTGTGTAAACTGTATCAGTCAAACTCATTAAATGTTCTTGACTCGACCTGGCCATGAAATTTCTCTCCCTGAGATTTTCAGGGGCCACATCTACAAACACTCATGTTGTACAGAAGCCAATTCAGACTGTGTCCTATGGTGGGTGGTATTTTTTCCTCTCCCCTACTGGTGAAAACACTCAGTCATATTGATTGTAACTAATGGTTGAAACCCAGAAAAATCAGCTTCAAAGGAAATGCTAATGCTTGGATTCTTTGGGATGACTGACTGCCTGTTAGCATGAGGGAAGGTCCTGATATGCTGCTTTTCCCTAGGATGCTACTTGTATACTGGGCTGCATTTGGGTTTCCTGTAGATGGTTTTGCTTTTGCATTCTTACCATTTATATATCAAGGGATGTGTAATCCAATGTTCCTTCTTTACTATTGGTGTCAAATAAAAATATTTTCAGTTACAACGTTTTGCAACATTGCTCTGGATTACCCCTGTGTCTCGGTGGGTTTCTGGCTCATGGGATGAACTAGGCTGTGCCTTAATCTCCTTGCATTAACTTTCTCCAGCTTTTCCTCCTTTTGGCTGCCCCCTGAATTAATTTCACTGTGCTGCAAAATTTTTGCCTGTTAGAGATACAGACCTAAGAGTCCCCAGATGACACTAAAAAAGTGTAGGATGTTTCCTTTATCTGTGAGTAGAGGCACAGCATGCAATCCATCCTGAACCCAGGCAGGGGATGCAAACTCTCACTCAGGCTGTGACTGCTTGGGGGAACAGGCCACTACTTGCTCCCTGAGTGCTTGTGGGTTTGGCTTGAGAGTGAAAATTGAGAAGTAATTTCTGGGAAACTGAAGTACAAACATTTGCCTGTGTTCCCTGGCAATTTCTCACAAAAACGGTTTCTGTGGAAGAGATCTTTCTGGCCAGACTGTGGCTAAGGCTAGGCATGAGCTCCCCAGTGCTCTCCAGGGAAATGTGGGCTTGTTTCCAGCTGAGACCAGGTACCAGCCTCTGGGCCTAGGCTGGCACAGTGGGCAGAACATCACCAAGCTCCTGCAGTTGCTTGCAGGCATGTTCTGACAACCATATTGACTGAAGGCTCTGGAAGAGGACAGTGACCCCTGCCTGCTTTCCTGTGTCCCTTCACAACTGCCGCTGAGGGCTTTGGGGACAATGCAGGACCATCACTACAAGGAAGTTGCCAGGAAACTGGGGTGCTGCAGCAGGCTTGGTGGTCCCTGTTGCATCTTCTGTTGTCTCTCGAGCCCTGAAATGTTGCACAAGAATCATGGGTGTGACCTTTTTATTCTTCCAAGTTTGGCATCTACAGGCAGAAAAATAGTCTGGGAGCAACCTTCCACTTCCTCCTGCAGAGGGGAGGAGTATTCTGTGGGTAGAATACTTCTGCTCCATACTCAGAGTATGGAGCTATTCCTCCTCTCTACACCCTGTGTGGGTAAGGCTCAGTGGCTGGAATAAACCATGAGTGGAAATGTCCCTTGCTGAAAGCAGCACCTGAGAAGTGTCACCAGGATTTCGCCCCTCTCCCCTCTACTTACCAAGGCTTCCCTGGACCAGATCAGCATGGAGCTGGTAAATGATCTTTTGACTCTTGCTGTGAGACCATATTTGCTCTAGCAGAGCTTTATCTACCTTGTGCTCCACCTGCCTGCCAAGAGCCAGGATGAGGGAGTAGTTTCTTACATTTATCCCACATGTTTACCCTGCTATACTTTCTTGCTCTCCAGCCCACAGGGAGAAAAAAGAGCCAAAAACCCACAACAAAAGAAGCTGTTGTTAAAAGGAAGAAAAGTTCTAAGCTGGAGTTTACTAAACCTTTTCACCCTCTTGGAAGGAGTCTAAATAGGCGTGCTTGTCCTTTGTTCTTTCTTTGTGTTTCAGCACAGCACTGCTGATTGCTGGTTCTGCTCTTACTTGACTGCATCCAACATGCAGGATGTCTGTATACTCAGGGACAGTGCACTCATATGAGACCTCTGTTCTCTGTCAATCCAAGGCAACAACCCCACTCCTGAAGCCTGTTTTCCTTATCCATCCGCTGCTCTAAATATAACTACCAGCAATGCAGATGAGTGCACAAAGGTCTCTGTAGAGTCAGTGGTGACATCCCAAGTCTGCACTAAACCTTGCTGTGATGAGCTAAGTGGGGAAAATAAGGGGTTTGAGTTAAGTCCAAAGGGTGGACCAGTGGACTTTTTCCTGATTACCTTCCAGCCTTTCACATGCATGATAATTATTTCCAAGAATCCTTGCTCCATGATTTTTCCAAGGATAGAGGTATTGCTCACAATAATTTTGTAATTACATTTTGTAATTAGTACACAAGGGTGGAGGTACTATTGCTGCTTCACATATCTTTCTCCTTGCGCTCCCTAAAGGTGGGCATTATATTAGGTTTTTCATTCAGCCTTTTCCCATTAGCCATGATATTCCACCCTGGCTGACAGCAGCTTCACTGACATGAACTGATAACTCATCTGGGTTAGTGTCATCTATTCTGTTCTCTTCTCTGAGCAGTCCTTAAGCCTCACATTTGGTCATCCCACTTACTTCCAAAACCAAGTTGATGAATGCAGAGATCTGGAAGCAGGCTTTGCCTCTGAAGATGCTACAAAAATCCATTGATCGTTGTGGTCTTTTTCTTATATTGTCCAGTACCATAGTGTTTCCTCCATCTGTCAGTAGACATGCCCAACTTCTAGAATCCCTGTAGGGTCCTGTTGTACTACCTTTAATGATCCTTTCTAGTCTGAGCTGTACGTGGAACTTGGCCACGCTCAATACCACCTCTAAGTACCCAAGTAAGCAATGTTTACTACATTCTTTTCCTGTCTGTCATATTTCCCATTATTCCATGCTGATTTGTTGTTGTTTTGTTGTTTTTGGTTTGGTTTGGTTTTTTATTTATTATTTTGCTACAAGAAGTGCCCTTTTTAGTCAAGCAAGACTTCTAGTGAAATTCCCAATCTTCCTGCAGAGGGGAAGGCTTGGGATATTCAGAATGAACATGGTGAAGAAAACCTTCCCAAGGGGGTTGATGCAGTCCTGGGACAGCATACTGAGGTGCTGGGGGCATTGCCACCTTGGGAG